TTAAAAAGAGAGTGGCCAGCAGGTTGAGAAAGGTCGTCTTCCCCCTCTACTCTGCCTGGTGAGGCCAAAACAGGAGCATTGTGTCCAGTTCTGGGCTCCCCAGTTCAAAAAGGACAGGGAACTGCTGTAGAGGGGACACCAGAGGGCTACGAAGATGATCAAGGGAATGGAGCACCTCTCTTATGAGGAAAGGCTGAGAGACCTGAGTCTGTTCAGCCTGGAGAAGACTGAGAGGGGGCCTCATCAATCCTTATAAATATCTAAAGGGTGGGTTTCAAGAGGATGGGGCCGGACTCTTTTCAGTGGTGCCCAGTGACAGGACAAGGGACAACAGGCACAAACTGGAACACAGGAACTAAGGCTGAATGCAGCCCAGTTTGTGCTCACTTCCAGCTTGCCATCTCCTTTCAGGTCTGACATGCTGGTGTTCAGCTTGTCTCCAGCTTCCTGCAGGAGAGGAGAGGAGAGGAGAGGAGAGGAGAAATTTGGGGGATTTGGGTCTGGGTCTTTCAAGGACTTCCTTCTGCTCTGTTGGGAGATGGCTCCTTCTCCAGGACATGGCCACGCTGCAGCTCTCCCTCTCACGGGGAGGGCTGTACAGGTTTGTTTGCCAAGTCACTCACTGAAAGCTGGGTCAGAGGCTCAAGGGGCTTGCAAGGGAGTTGCATTTGCATGCCAGCCCCCTGGGATGGGGGTCCTGCTGCTGCTGTCTGGAACACAGGAGCACCCCCTGAGCTGGTAGAGCCAGCAATGTGCCCTTGTGGCCAAGAAGGCCAATGGTCTCCTCGGTTGTATTAAAAAGAGAGTGGCCAGCAGGTTGAGAAAGGTCGTCTTCCCCCTCTACTCTGCCTGGTGAGGCCAAAACAGGAGCATTGTGTCCAGTTCTGGGCTCCCCAGTTCAAAAAGGACAGGGAACTGCTGTAGAGGGGACACCAGAGGGCTACGAAGATGATCAAGGGAATGGAGCACCTCTCTTATGAGGAAAGGCTGAGAGACCTGAGTCTGTTCAGCCTGGAGAAGACTGAGAGGGGGCCTCATCAATCCTTATAAATATCTAAAGGGTGGGTTTCAAGAGGATGGGGCCGGACTCTTTTCAGTGGTGCCCAGTGACAGGACAAGGGACAACAGGCACAAACTGGAACACAGGAAATTCCATCTCAATAGGAGGACTTCAAAACCTGCCTGGACACGTTCCTGTCCAGCCTGCTCTGGGTGACCCTGCTTTGGCTGGGGGGTTGGACTAGTTGATCTCTGAAGGTCCCTTCCAACCTCTACAATTCTGTGATTCATGCTGAAGTGGATCCCAAGGTCTCAGCCACCCTTTGCTCCTCTGAAAGAAGCAGGCTTCCAGTGAGCTGGAGGCTTGTCCTTGTTCTGTGGGACAGAAGCATTTACTATCATAGAATCATTCAGGTTGGAAGAGACCCTTGGGATCATGGAGTCCAACCATCTACCCTACTCTACAAAGTCCTCCCCTACACCATATCCCTCAGTACCCCATCTAAATGTCCCTTAAACACCTCCAGGGATGGTGACTCAACCACCTCCCTGGGCAGCCTATTCCAATGCCTGACCACTCTTTCTGTGAAAAATTCCTTCCTAATGTTCAGTCTAAACCTACCCTGTTGGAGCTTGAAGCCGTTCCCTCTCATTCTGTCATTAATTACCTGTGAGAAGAGACCAGCACCAACCTTGTGCTCATTCAGCTCAATCACACCAGCAACTGGCTCAGGTCCCACCCGTTTCATGCAGTCTCCTTCCCTCTCTGTAGGAAGATTCCAGAACACCCCAACCTATTGAGACACAAAGAGATTCAGTCCCAGGGTCTTCACCCATAGCCATCAGCAGTCCCAGAAGACATTCTTGCATTTCTTCTTCTGGAGGAGACTGTGACACTCCTAACTCCACTGTTAGACCACATATGTATGGCAGTGCTAGAACAGCACAAGTGGGGAGGCCAGGATAGGCTGCACCCCACTTTTCCAAGAAAAAAGAGAACCACAACCGTCCTCACCATCGGTAACAAGCATCAGAGCAAAGTCATCAAAACGATGCCACAGACACAACTAAGCAGAGCTGGTGACTTCTCAGTGATCTGACCAGTTACTGCCAGTGGCAGAAATCTGACTTAGGATATCATAAGGCAAAGCAACGGACATCAAGGAAGTGGTAAAACACACTTGTGCATGAGGAGTATGTGAAAGACCTAAAAAAACCCCAACAAACAGACCGAGGAGATGTCTGCAGCGTCTGTGTGAGCCAGGCAGCCCAGGCCAGGCGTCGAGCTCCAGGGCCAGGAGAGCTGGCAGCCCCCCAAGCCTGGGCTGAGGCTCCCTGCCCAGCCTGCTCTGCCACCAAAATGTGAGCTACTTCGCATGGTCCAAGTGTTGTAGCCTCACCACCAGTGATTTAAATGGTCTTCAGGAAAACAGAGTCCTTCCAGGAAAAGAACCTGCCAGCAGATTTGAATCCTGGAAAAACAAGGCACAATCTCTTGTCTCTTTCCCGTGTCTCCACTGACTGACATTCCTCATTCCCCCTGTGCCCTATGGGACAGGTACATGGGACTATAAAAGATGAGGGGTAGTGGGTACAACTTACTCCTGGGGACATTCCAATTGGACACAAGAGGCAAATTTTTCACCATGAGAACAATCAGCCATTGGCATAATCTCCCCAGGCAAGCAGTGGATTCCCCAACATTGGACACTTTGAAGATTCAGCTGGACAGGGTGCTGGGTCAGCTTGTGTAGACCGTGCTTTTGGCCAAGAAAGTTCAGACCAGTTGATCCTTGAGGTCCCTTCCAGGCTGGTGTTCTATGATTCTGTAATTCTAGGATTCTACAACCAAGGTAGTGTATAGACATGTGTGTGTCGATCCTATCACCAATCCCCCACTGCATACCTAGGATGAGCCTGCTCCCACAGTAGGTCTGTGCTCCACTCACCTCATTCCTAAGTTAAAGGGATGTTTTCTCCATGGGGTTTCTGCCCTTCTAACCACGGCTGCAGGGAATAGGCTGCCCAGGGAAGTGGTTGAGGCACCATCCCTGGAGGTGTTCAAAAGACAGGTTGATGTGGTGCTGGGAGGTATGGTTTAGTGATGGTGATGCTTCTTGTTTGTTGTGGGGGTGTCTATTTTTTGTCAGTTAGGTTGATGGTTGGACAAGATGATCTTTAAGGTCCCTTCCAACCTAGAAGATTCTGTGATTCTGTGACATGGGCACCTGTGCACTCCAGCCAGGGTTGCTTCCATGCTTGCAAGGCCTCCTGCATAGCCATTGTTATGACTAACTTCTGATCCCCAAGGAGATGGGAATCCCAGCACCACCGCTCCCCATTTGGCTGGTCCCTTTGAAACAGCCACAGCTCTTTTGGAAGTCATGGCTCTCTCTAGTGCCAGGTCTGGCTTGCTTGTCCTCCACGCTCATCTGCTGGACCTTCCTGATGCTCTCCCATGGTCACCTGTGAGGAGAAAATAGGACAAGAGAAACAGAGAGACTGGACATCAGTGCAGAGCTCAGTGGCACAGGGATGTACAGCAGGAGACAGGATCTGGTTTCACATTGTACCACGTTCCTCACACCTGGATCACAGTTATTTTAAGCTGTTTTTCCACCTCACGGCTACATTTTGTGCTGCTGCTCCCAGAGAACAGACACTTCCCACTGGTCTCTTGGCAGGTTCTGCCCTGGGTTTGCCGTGTTCCTGGGTGGAGTGCTTGGCCTGGAGGTGGGGGGTGTTTGTCCCTTCCAGTCAGCTCGGCAGCCCTGGGTACTGGTGGGAAGGCCCAGCCTGCTTGCATGGACAGGACAGAAGCTGAAGCAGTTTTTTTTGTTCCTGGCAAACAACCTGGAGGCAAAATCCTCCCCCATCTGTCCCCTGCAGCATGGCTGGGCCAGTGGTGAGTCTGTGTCCTGGGCACCCCCTCCTCCAGGCATAGAATCCTAGAATGGTTTGGGTTGGAAGGGACCTTAAAGATATCGAGTCCCAACCCCCCTGCTCTGGGCAGGGACACCTCCCACCAGCCCAGGTTGCTCCAAGCCCCATCCAGCCTGACCTTGGGCATGTCCCCCCACTCCTGCAGCCACCTGCCCATGGCCCCATCCTGCGGAGATGCCACGCTGCCACAGGCACCCTGGGCCCCAACGGTGGAGAGAAGCTGGGACCAACCCCCTGGGACACCTTCACCCCAGGCCCAGGCACACACAGCACAAGGTTCCCTCCAGCATCAGTGGGGGCAGCCGGGGATACCCCGGCAGGAGTGATTTGGGGGTGCCTGTCTGTGTCTGTGTGTCTGCCCGCCTTTCTGTCTGTGTGTCCGTCCGCCTCTGTCTCTCCACCTGCCCATTTCTGACTGCTCCCTTCTGTGTTTCTGCCCTCTCTCCTTGCCTGTGCATCTGTTTGTACATAGAATCATAGAATCATAGAGTTGTCCAGGCCGGAAGGGACCTCCAAAGGTCATCTAGTCCCACCCCCCCACAGTCAGCAGGGACACCCCCAACTAGACCAGGTTGCCCAGGGCCTCGTCGAGCCTCACCTTGAATATCTCCAGGGAAGGGGCCTCAACCACCTCCCTGGGCAACCTGTTCCAGTGCTCCACCACCCTCACAGTGAAGAACCCCCTCCTAATCTCCAATCTAAATCTGTTCCCCTCCAGCTTAAAGCCATTGCCCCTCGTCCTGTCACTGCAGGCCTTTCTACATCTGTTTGTACATCTGCTTGTCCCTTTGTCCGTCTGGCCTCTCGGCACCTGCGTGTGCGTCTTTACTGTGGATGTGCCTGTCCCCTTTTGGGTCTGCTTGTGCCTCCGTCTGTCTCGTTGCGTGTGTGTGTGTGTGTGACCTTGCCCACCCGCCCGTGTCTGTGTGTTTGTGGGCTGTGTCCGTGTGTCCGTCCATCCTTTACCCCCAGACACCCGGCCGTCCCAGCCCTTTCAGCACCGCGCCGGGCGGACAGCTCCCGCCGCCTCCTACCGCGCCGGCCCTCGGGGGGCGCGGATGGCGGCCCATCTCCGCGTATCCCTCCGCGTCCCGCACCGCGTATCCTTCCGCCCCCCGCACCGCACCGCAGCAGCCCGCCCCGCGCCCCGCCCCGCCCTACATAAGCGCCGCCGCCGCCGCTTCTCCCGCTCCCGCTCCGCCGCCATGAGCTACGGCGCGGAATCGGCGGCGCTGGCCGCCTCCTACCGCCACCTCTACGCCGAAACCCCGCGGCGCCCCGAGGGGGCGGCGGGCCGGTGGGCGCTCCCGAGCGCGGAACCGGGGCGGGCCAGCGAGAAAGAGCAGCTTCAGGGCCTCAACGAGCGCTTCGCCGGTTACATCGAGCGGGTGCGGGCGCTGGAGGAGCGGAACCGGGGGCTGGCGGCGGAGCTGGCGGCTTTGCGGGAGCGCTCGGCCGAGCCCCGCCGGCTGGGCCAGCTGCTGGGCGGGGAGCTGCGGGCCCTGCGCGCCCGCCTGGAAGAAGCGCACGGAGAACGGGCGCAGGCGGAGCTGGAGCGGGCCCGCCTGGCCGAGGAGACGCAGCGGCTGCGGGCGCGG